CTGGAACCTGTTGTAACTTTTAACCCGCCTAATTATTACGTGACTTATTCAGAATATGACTTATGCCATCTTAGCACTGTGCCACAACAATGACTTATTGACCTGTGTGAGCAGCCTATCATCCTCATTGGTCCTTTTTCTCCCTAGACCTGCCTATTGAGTCCAGAATGTCAATATCAGCTCCTACTATACGAATTATTTATTTCGAACATACTTGGTTTATATACCAACCAAACAGACCGCATCACACCATAAAATAGGAAATAATATTTGTACAAAATCAAACCAAAAAAGTTAATTGTGATTGTAGGAAACTGTAGTTAATAAACTGAACATAAATTAAGATGAGTAAATTGTATAATAACAGTCTATAGGTAAAGTAAAGCTTATAATAAGAGCCGTATGAATATACATAATCTAGGCACTTAACAATTATACAACTAGAATATATGTATAGTTATTAGTCCATAAATAAATTCAAATAGTTACCATTCATTATTCTCATTGGGATATAACAGAATTAGGATTTATGTGATTTCTTTTGGATATTTTATATTTGGATTCAATGTTAATTGGTTTTATACAAAAATACCATTTTATTATTCAAATGTTGGTTAGTTATATTACTGTTATATTACTGAATTCCATACACAGAAGAAATTAGAAAAATCGGTTTATTCATTCGATTGCCTACGTCATTTTGAGTTACTTTAAGAAAAATGTGACTAAATTCACTTAGTGTTGTTTCACTTGTTTCTTCTTATTGCTACTTAGGACTGTAATTGATTAGTCTCTTGCTGGCATATGTGCATCCTGTGCAGACTGCCTCGATATTTCCTTAGGTCACAAGCCTTATAAGCAAAGATGGATAGTGGCTAGCAATCGAATCCAGGTTGAAACGCGTTTCTTCCTATTTGTGACTCGTCAAATGGATGTACCTGCATCCCAGAGTTGATGTTCACTTCAGGACTCGAACCCAGTACTTGTTTGCTTGAAACGCCATCGCGTTATCCACCAATCTATTTATTATTTATTTATTAAAACACATAAACATTGGTACAAGTAGGCACTTAATAGATATACGCCACATAAATCATTCGATTTGTGTGAGTGTGGAAATACTGCCCGGGTGGCCAAATCGGAGCAGGTGGTTTTCTAGGGAAGCCATACCCCAAGCCTTTGACCTAAAGGTCTGATCCACAAGGCAGTGGAGCATCATGAGGAGATGCAGTCCCATGGTAGCCGGTGACCAACGATTGGTTCATACGCCATTTGTTCCCGCAGGATACTGGAGCCACTGCGCACCATTGGTTTGAGATCCAATTAAAGCGCCGGAGATTAGCTTTTTGTCCTCTCAATTTCGTAAACAGCAGTAGTGCCACTAGAAGGCAGTGAGTAGGACTTCTCTGGCAGAGGCTGTATACGCGTGGCCGTGTGAGAGCATTCGGAAAGGGAGGGCGGGACCACCCCACTCTCGGCTATACTAGGGCATTTGGGGGCATCCACTTATCTACTGAGTACTGATAGTCACCTGCTTGTGCAATGGGGTGAAGTTTAAATTTACTTTGCTTAATGTTAAAAAGAAAATTTTGTACAGCTATAGATCGGCTTGATTAGTTATCAACCAAGTCAAAGCAGTATTTCAGTTTCATTGTCAACATCACATAATGACCCTTGTTCAACAACCATCGAAAACCATGAGACACTGGAATTCTATGTTAGTTTGCATCCACGATTCTCCCACCAGAGGTTAAACCTTCTGTCTCGGATGTAATTAATTTAACCTCTGAACCAATGAGCTATAGAAATTTCAGAAGTCTCCACCTATGTTTATATTCAGTAATCGAAGTGAATACTAACAAGATTGCATTTTCATTCTAGTTATGAATTTTATAACTGACAGGTGTATGAATATAAGTTAATTGGTACCAGCTGAGTATTCACTTATTTAATTATTGATAAACCATACAAGTAAATGAACAAATTATTATCCATAGACTTTCACCCTGAGGGGATTATATTCTATAAAAACATATCGTTGAAACATATTCTTACCTAATTGAAAATACTATTTGAGCTACTCAATCCCACGAATAATATGTGAGTAAAACGAATGCTTTTAAGACGACATTATAGGACTAAAAATGTTCTATTTGTAAGGATCATTTAGTGTATTTGAAGCTTACATTAGCACTAGTTAATATAATAAAAATAGATAAATAAGTAAATGATACTATTTATATATATGTTATATATAAGTTATTCTTACCGTTTACCCGCTCGAAGTACAAAATGTTGCTTCACGATTGGATTCATCGACACCTGAACTAATGATAGGGAATGAAGTAATTGAGCGTGTCGACAGCTTCACTTATCTTGGAAGTCCCATCAGCTGTTGTGGTCTAATGTGTGACGAAATCTCGGCACGGATACAGAAGGCTTGACTAGCTTTTGCAAACTTGTGTCATTTATGGCGTAGGCGAGATATCCGTCTATCAACCAAAGGACGGGTTTACTGCACAGCAGTTCGTTCCGTCCTACTTTAAGTCAGCGAAACATGGCCGGTAAGAGTAGAAGATATTCGTAGGTTGCTAGTATTCGATCATAGGTGTCTTCGAAACATCACTCGTATATCCTGCGACCATCGAGTAAGTAACACAGTTGTTAGGAAACATTTACTAGGTAAGGATGGGAAATCAATTGATGAAATAGTGAAACGTCATCAGTTGAGATGGCTGGGACATGTATTACGTATGCCCAACCAACGATTGCCCCGACGTGCGATGTTCATTGGTATAGGAGTAGGTTGGAAGAAACCTAGAGACGGCTAGACCAAGACATTGCACAAATTCATGACGTTACTGACAAGTGCACTGTGAGAGCCATGTTGGTAGGTGTAGACTATCTGCTTGGGACCCGCATGATGATAGCAATCGACGGTAAGAGACCTTAAATGACATGGCTCAAAACCGTTTTCAATGACTCAGGTGCATCCTTTTTTTGTGTTCTCCCAAATTCTAATCTTTTGAATTCTTCTTGTCTCCATTTTTTTCTCTCTTTTCAAATTCATTTCAGTGGGTTATACTCCTTGAATAACATCCTCAAACCCCGATCATTCCAATTACTGTTTATACTTGTACTAACTCTACCACTATGAGATTTGAATAGACAACTGTATCTCTTTGCTAATGTAGTATAGCAACTTGAACTGATGTACGTACGTAGAAAGTTCTACGTTGTTGATGACTGACTTACTGGATAGCTTTGACAATAATCTAAACTGTTTCAAATTGTTCATTATTATGCAACATCATTTTGCTACTTATTCTAATTCAAATTAATTCATAAAGTGACATATGACAGTTCCTTTTCATGCATATAGTTATCACAATTATGTTCCAGAATAAAACAATAATTCTCTATCCACTATCAGCTAATTTATACAAAAGTACTTTTAACATGAAATTCACAGTTTTTTTTTCTTTTATACAGGAATATAATGCCAATGAGTATTTTTCATTTTAAAACTTCACTCATTTCATAGTTTAGATATTATATTTATAAAGCAATTTTGTTTTAAAGGTTAAGTTAATGCATGAATATACTTGTTTGTGTATAATTGAAGTATCCTGATAAAGAAACTTTTGTGAATGCCCATTATTTAATCGTCATTTAGATCGAACAAATGTTTTCGAAAGGGTTCTCCACTTTAGTGGCCCGTGGATCTGACTCCAAGGAGATTGTAATGATGATTATTATTGAAATATATATATCGCCTATCCTTCTATACAATCATTGACTTAAATCACATTAGTCAATAACGGAATTAAATAAATCGAGTAACGAGAATGAATTTTTGAATACACATATTTTGTATATGAAGGGAATGGAATAGAGCGAAGCGAATGGACGCGTAGTGGACATGGCCGGTAAGCCGACTCCCATTTAACCAAGCGTTAATCAATAGTTATAGTTACAAAAGAGTAAGTTACAGATATGTGATGAGTAATGGGATAAGAAATGTAAACACACCGACGCGCTTATATAAAAACAGTCAAGATTGATAAGCAAATAATTAGCAAGGTCAGAATTTGACTCAAGTGAAATGAATAGATTGGGCTGTCCGAAAGCTAGAATAGGGTATATGGGCTACATTTGAATCTAGGACGAAGAGAGCATCCTGCATTCTACTATTAGCCATTATCCACCTCTGTTTAGCATATCTTTATTTTGACAAGTAGTTTATAAAGTGTGTTGATCATGATCAATGAACTTTAAACAGTTATTTCTATTTTTAGTAATTTAAAAACCTACTTGGTGTTGTTTCACTTGTTTCTTCCTATTGCTACTTAAGACTGTAATTGATCGGTCTCTTGCTGGCATATGTGCATCCTGTGCGGATTGCCTCGACATACTCTTAAGTCACAAGCTTGATAAGGAACGATGGAGAGTGGCTAGCAGTGGAATCCAGTTTGACACGCATTTCATCCTATTTAGGACTCGTCAACTGTATATACCTTCATCCAAGAGTTGTTGTTCACTCTACTGCTAGCCACTATCTATCTTTGCTTAAAAAGCTTGTGACTAGACTATATCGAGGCAATCCACATAGGATCTACATATGTTAATAAGAGACTGATCAATTGTAGTCTTAAATAACAATGATAAGATACAAGCAAACAACACCAAGTGAATTTAAACTTCATCCCAATGTACAAGTAAGTGGCTTTCACGACTCAGTAGCTAAATGGATAACGCGATGTCATTTGAAGCATACGGTACTGTGAACATGAACTGTGAGATGCAGGTACATCCAGTTGACGAGTCCCAAAACGAGGACGAAAAGCGCGTCAAACTGGATTCCAGTGCTAACCACTATCCATCTTTGTTTATATAGTAATGTAAAATTTTAGTTCATTAATATATATGTTAATTTTATTATACTACTCTAAATTGTATTGGCAATGTTTAATATACATTTTTATATATTTACATTTTAGTGTATTTTTGAAGCAACAACTGTAGATGATTTTTGTGAAGAATTAAAAAATTTTGCTAATAATGAATGGAAATTATTAAATCAATTAAGAAATTTCATTTGTACTAACAATATTACTGCCAATACAACAACAACAACAACAACTACTACTACTAGTAGTAGTAGTAGTGCTACCACTACTACTCCTACCACAAATAATAATAATAATAATACAGTAACAACAAAAGTAATAAATATTGTTACTACCTCTAATAACAATGAAAACATTGTAGAATCTGAAAACATTCAATCAAATACAGAATTAAATGAGGTAAGTCCATTAATCTACAACAATGTATCATTCTATTTATCTTCATAGTATAAATACTTCTTTATTAATGTTGATTTGAGTAATCGAGTTAATATAATCATCTTTTAAACAAGAATATTACTGTTATATCCTAGTGAAGATTAAATTACGAATACCTTCTGAGATCTGTTAATGGATTAATAGTATCTATATATTCTTATGGTATAACTATTCAGTAATTAGATTATGTATATCTATATTCCCCTTATTATAGGCTTTATTTTGATCTATAGATTATTATTGTACGATTTACTGTTCATAAGTTATACTCAGTTTATGAATTACTGTCTCCCATGTTCACAGACACTTTTTGACGAATGTTATTTCCTATTTTGTGGTGCGTTGAGGTATGTTTGGTCGATATATAAACATAGTATGTTTGAAATATATGATTCGCATAGTGGAAGCTGGTATTAGTGTTCTGAACTCAACTGGACGGGCTAGGCGAACATAGGACTAATTAGAACGCTAAGCTGCTCATACCGGTCGAAGGTCATTGGTTTAGCACAGTGCGAAGATTGTATAAGTCGTATTTTGATTGGCGGATAAATCACGTGATAACAAGCCGGACATAAAGTCGCAACAGTTTCCGGATGAATTTAGCCTCCTTTAAACATCTTGGTTACATGTTCCTATCATCTAGATATTACAACAAGTAATCTAATTTTATTTATTTTAATAAATCATTATGGTTACGAATCACATAAACAATTCAGGTGCATTTGTAAAAATTGTACAACCTTTCTTTGTACAAGTTACATAAGGCCTAATTGGAGATATTGTGGTTGTTGCCAATGTTCATCAAAAAGAATATATACATTATTCAGATATCGATTGATTGACCTGCTAACTACTAACTGGCGATCACTTAATATCTATAGCCAGGATCGATCAAGAAATAAGAAACGAAAACTCGATGAAATACTTTGTGCTGAGAAGTCTATGTTGTACTAAAAGTATATTGTTGAATAAAGCCACTAATAATAATTAACAATAATAATAATAATAACAATAATAATAATAATGGCCGAAGACATCATTTTTGAAATACAGGATTCATATAGCAGAGGGTGAGATTAGTGTTCTGGACTTAACTGGTTGTGCTAAGCGGTAAGCAGGACCGATAAGTACTCTAGACTGCTCGCATGGATTTATGCGTTACTGCTTCGATCGATAATTCACTGCTCTCTAATTGGCGGTATCATTACGTTATACATTAGCATGGCACACAGGCCACAAGTTATCACGGACGTGAAAAATACATCAAAAAAGATATCCTATGTCTGAATATACAGATTCTTATTTGTTATTTTACATTTATCAATAGTTATATGCAATTAATAATTGAATTCATGAGCCGTTAAAAGTTAGACTACCATGAAAAACCTGGGAGCACTGGATAGCCGTTTCGTTCTAGTGCGCATCCACGATCTCGCCCGTGGGTCTCGAACCTAGGATCTTCACTCGCGCTCGCGAACGTTTAACTTCCAACGGTGTAAGTGTCTAATTTCAACCATCTCTATAAAAAATAACCAAAATGTGTAACATTAAACCTTGAATCATCAGTAAAATTAATTTATTAGTATAATATACTACATTGTAAAATCAAAATATCACAACAAGCAAAGATTTCTTATTTACTATGTTGTATAATTAATCCCTGTTAACATTATTCTCCTTTGTAATTGACTTTGTGTGAATAGGCTTTGTATTGTGTATCAATTAGATGTGATGTCGGTATTTTTCTCCTCGATCATTTCGTTGATGTCAGTTTTTATAGCTTTAATTGATACACTAACATCTCGTATTATCCGTTATCAGTGACTAACTAGTCAGCTGATAAATTTGTTGGACGACTTAAAAATGTTAAGATCACCTGTTCATTTATAAATGACTGATCACTGGGTAGTTGTTCTTAGTATGTATATCAAGTCATTCTACGTACGGATAGAATTCTGTCGGTCAAGTTGTAATATGGTCACTAGTCGCTAGGTGATTCGACAACTCGTGCACTTTGTTAAGATGTAAATTCACGTCTCGGAAAGGTCAGTTGTATCATCTCTGACTGTGAAGTTGGATAACAAAGGATTGAATCCGCTAGGCACTATCAATTTCTCTCAAGATTACGGGTACTTCTATTTTGATGAATAGACAAATAGGATTAGTCATAGGTCTAGTGCTTTTTGTCGATTAACTTCAACCAAATCCTCATAATTTATCTACTTTATGTTATTTTGATTGTTTCATATTATCAGTTTTGATAAAAGTAACCGAATAAAACTACATTTAAATTTCATTCTGCATATGAGTTTTTCATTGATCATTATTCTTCAAAATTAGAATGTACACAAATCAGAACATAGTTTGATCAGTTTCTGTTGTTATGTTTAAAAACACTATTCCTCATACCTAATTTTAAAGGCTTTAATTATTATTATTATTATCATTATCATTAAATGCGCAATTATTGCACTTAATTTGCTTGTTTTAAATTTGTTATGCATGAGTAACCATGGCTACTAACTGTAAGTACTTACATGGTAATTAAAAAGGATCACATATTGCTGTGAAACTAAATACTAGAAAATTTAAACACTTTATATGATGGGAAACATTTTATTGTAGAAGCTAAACTTTCATGATTGTATGAGGGTAGTGACATTTATTTTGTATTGTTCGTTTGAATTTTTCAATTGATCAATCTTTTATTGGCATACGTTCATCCTATGCGGATCGCTTTTATATTACCTTACGTCACAAGGATTATAAGTGAAGATGGAGGGTGGCTAGCAGTTAAATTCAGGACGTATGTTTCTTCCTATTTCAAAAATTGTCAGCTGGATGAACCGGGGTGAACATCAACTCTGAGATGTAGGTCTATGCAGCTGACGAGTCCTGGACAGGACGAGATGCGTGTCCTCGATTCCACTGCTAGCCATCATCCACCTTTACTTGTAATTTTAAAATATGTTTTGAATAATTACTATTTGAATATGTATATTTCAAGAAATTAGTACCAAATTTTATTGTAGTGAATAAAGCCATGAATATTAATTTCATACTTTGCATTTTAGATTTTCCCAAAAGATGAGTGTAGATTTCAAATGAAATCAGAAACTAGACAGCCGACAATTAAAGAGTCAATAGATAATGAAATAGCATCGACGGATGAACTGAAAGCCAATGTTATTGATTCAGTCACTGTTCTACATGAGCAAGGAAAGTAAGTTTACTGTTATTATCAAATATTGCATAGCATCTTATTTGAGATAAATATAATTGAAATTTTAACTCCAATAACAATGTGTGTATCTAGAAAGTACTAATATACCATATGCAACAAGTGATATATATATGGACCATTCGTTTTTTTGAATTTCATTGAAATCGTGAATCCATCTATGTTAGACCACCATCGAAAACCTGGAATCACTGGACGACCGTATTGTTTTAATGTGGGACTGCTCAGCGATCCCCATCTACCACACCTTATACTGAACCCGAACCTAGGACATTTGATCTCGCACACGAACGCATAACCCTTAGATCATTGAGTCTGCATCGAACCGCGTTGATATCTAACTTGAATAAATTTACGACACTGTGACTATCTTCTATTGTTTTAGTTGGTTAACTGCTTCACACCCTAAACAAATTCGCTCCACTGGTTACGGCTACTTACTGGAACCCCATGAATTTCCTCTCAAGATTGGTCACTAATGGACACATTATAAATGCTAGTAAGTGGTTACGGAAATTGCCAAATTTCATTGACAGACAGTTCCAAATAATTAGAAATAATATTGATGTTGTGAACCGACCAACTTTGGTAATCCGCTGAAAACAAAAAAGCATTTTATAGCTGTTTTGAACAATTATGAAACGCCTTTGCAGTACGCATCAAAGAGACCGAAGATCATTGGCCAAAACAATAATTACTTACTTACGCCTGTTACTTCCAATGAACCACAGGCATCCAACCAACGTTCTCCAACCCACTCTGTCCTGAGTCTTCATTTCTAGTTCTATCCAATCATTGTTCAGTCTTCTCATGTCTGTCTCCATTTATCGGCATAATATGTTCTTTATTCGTCATTTTCTCCTTTGACCTTGAGGATTCCATGTGAGGGCTTGCTTTGTGAGGCAATTGGGTACATTCCTCAATTTGTGTCCTGTTCACTTCTAGCTCATCTTTCTGATTTCTTTCTTCACTGGAATCTGGTTTGTTCTCTCCCATAGTAGGTTGTTGCTGATAATGTCTGGCCAACACATCTGAGTTTTTTTGTATAGACAGCTGTTAATAAACACTTGTATCTTCTGGATGATGGCTTTCGTAATTCTCCAGGTTTTCGTTTCATACGGTAAAATTGTCTTGAAATTCGTATTGCAAATTTTGAGTTTGGTGTTGGCTTGTAGTTTCGGTTATCATGTCAAACCCATATACCTTATTCTAGCTTTCGGACACGCCAATCTATTCATTCTAGTTGAATCACATTTTGACCTTGTTATTTATTCGCTTACCAATCTTGACTGCTTCTATATAAGCATATGCTTGTACACTTTTTATTATATTCATCACATGTCTGTAACTTTTTTTGTGTAACTATAAATATTGATTAACGCTTGGTTAAATGGGAGTTGGCTTACCCGCCATCTCCACAGCCCGTCGTTCCTCTTGTCTCTATTCCATTCGCTTCGTATACAAAATACATGTATTCAAGAGTCAGTACTTGTACTTAACTTATTTAATCTTATTATTCACGCAACGCGAATTAAGTCGATAAAGATATACGAGAATAGTCAGGATATACATTTCGACAACGATCATTCATAAGATCAAATTGGAGTCAGATCCACGGGCCACTGAAGTGGAGAGCCAATCAACAAACATAGTCCGATCTAAATGACGACAAAATAAAGGGCCCCACAAAATGCTTACAGACAGTTGTTTTGAGTTCCAGATGTTCTTCAGTTGTCGTTATATTGCCCTTGCTTTGTTGATTCGTGCCTTAACATCTGCATGAGATCCACTGTGCTCGTCAACGATGCTACCCAGATATTGGGAGGTTTTGACATCTTCCAAAACAATATCTATCCAATAATTCATACAGTAAAAACTTGGAAATGAAGAAACACAAGGAAGTCTTTGGCATTAATACATAATAAACATGAGATGGTGTAGATTTGTAGCTCAGGTGGATGATTTTGATGGAGTTTTGTTCTCTGAGCTGGATGGTTTTGTCGTGGACCAAAGATAAACATCTTGCTTAGTGTTGACTGTGGTTAGAGACGTAAGTCAATATATGTTAACTCAATAACTTGAATGGTAAACACATACTTAAATTCCCTGAGGTGTTCTTGCTTTGAATCCTGGTGAATAAATGAGTGCCCATTGCTGAGTACTTCAAATTTAAGACAAACCAGCTGTAGAGATTCCTGCTTCCTAATAATACTCCAATTGACATTAGTCTGTGACAAATACGATCTACAAACATAAACATTATAAATTTATTCTAAATACTATTCACGATTGATGTGTGGGCGAGAATGATAATGATTGGTTATCTGTTTAGTCAAACATGCAGATAGTTTGACAGGTGTCAGATGAGTTATATATTCCATTATCCTTATTATTGATTGATTGATTGTTCATTGTTGTTGGATTGTGTCGAGTTTCGGTGTAGACATTTATTTACTTCCTAGTCAGGCTAATCACGTGTTCATGATCTGAGTTGTGTTCAAGTCCTGTAGAATAGACACTGTGAGCGAATCTAGTGTAGATATTCGTCTAAGGTAAATTAACGTCCCATACATGAAAACGTAGAAACCCAACCACTATAACCGAACGTTATAACAACGATACAATGATTATCAAGTTCGATAATAATTTATTATTATTATCAATTTTTGTCCATCTAACTTTCAGTTTTCCATAATTTCCCATATGTATAAATGAAAGCTGCGTGTACACATAATAAGTATTACACAAAATGTCACTTTATTAGACTTACGAAAATTTGATAAATTTCATTAGATTACCAATGTGTATACTTTTTTTTTAACAATTATTTTTACATGTTTGTAACTATGCATTTTTGTGTTTGATCTTGTGTGTGTGTGAGTGTGTGTGTGTGTGTGTGCGTATATGTGGTTGTTAGTCTTAAAAAAATAAATAAATAAACATTCCACCTTTCACATGAACTGATTTATATGCATAGATTTATGCGTATATATATATTATTGATCTATCCTGAAAATAGATTCTTTATAATTTATTATACTATATTGATATTTCTGAAACAACAACAACAAAAAAAGAACAACGATACTGTTATCATGAATTCAGATAAATTTGATTTCAAGATGGTGGCTGAAGGTACTCAACAGGAAGACATGGACTTACGTTCCGTGCTATTTGGCACTTGTCAGTAAGGTGTATCTGTAATCTTGAAAGAGCTGGTGCTACTTGATGATTTTGATTCCATGTCATCCAGTTTCATAGTCAGAGATGTTACTACTGAGCTATCCGTATCGTGATTAACCTCTTGTACGACCGAGATGTATTCATCATCGATTGATCACTGAGTGGTAATCAATGTCATGTTTTTCAGGTCCTTCTTATTGACTGCCTCCAACCACCATTATAACTTAAAGTAGTGTACGCAATGTCGAGTCACTTAGACTAGTGGCCACATTGCAACTTGGTCAATAAAATTCGATCTGCACAAAGAAAGACCTGACTTACATGACATTGGTCACTACTCAATGACTACTCAATACTGTAATGAGTTGTCACATGGAAGTCTGAATAATGTTTACTTACTTAAATACTTACGCCTGTTACTCCTTATTGAACATATGCCGCCAACCAGCATTCTCCAACTTTGTCCTGGCCCTCCTTTTCTAGTTCCATCAAATTCTTGTTTATTCTTCTCATGTCTATCTCCATTTCCTAGCGTAATCTGTTCTTTATTCTTCCTCTTCTCCTCCTCCTCCTTTGGCTTTGAGGATTCCATGTGAGGGCTTGTCTTGCGAAGCGATTCGGTGCTTTCCTCAATGTGTGTCCTATCCACTTCCAGCGCTTCTTCCTGATTTCTCCCTCCGCTGGGATCTGATTTGTTCTTTCCCACAGTTGAATGTTGCAAATAGTATCTGAACAACGGATCTGAAGTATTTTGCGTAACCAACTGTTAATAAACACCTGTATCTTCTGGATGATGGCTTTCGTAGTTCTCTAAGTTTCCGCCCCATACAGTAGAACTGTCTTGACATTTGTATTAAAAATTCTGACCTTGATGTTGGGTGACAGTTGTTTTGAGTTCCAGATGTCCTTCAGTTGCAAATATATTGCTCTCGTTTTACCGATTCGCGCTTTCACATCTGCATAAGATCCACTGTGTTCATCAATGATGCTGCTCAAATATGTATAGGTTTTTACATCTTCCAAATCGTCTCCGTCAATTGTGATTGGATTGGTGTATTCTGTGTAGTATCGGAGAATCTTGCTTTTCCCTTTGTGTATATTGAGACCTACTGCTACTGAGGCTGCTTCTACACTGGTTGTCTTCTCCTGCATTTGTTGTTGCGTTTGCTATAGAAGAGCCAGATCATCTTCGAAGTCTAGATCGTCTAACTTCATCCTAAATGTCCACTGTATTTCCTATTTCCCTTCAGATGTTGATGTCTTCCTGGTCCACACGATCACTAAGAGAAAAAGAAAATGTGAGAGTAGGCAACCTTGCCTGACGCCGTTCTTTACGAGTCTGTCAATTGAATGATGCTTAATTCTCCTGAAAACCAAATGTCACAAGAATATATGACATAACACCTATATGATTTATATTACTTAAATTCTATTATATCATACAAAATGTGTTCTTTCTTTCCTTTTTTTGTCTTTGTTTTTCAAAAAAAAACATCCGGATAATAATTTTAGTGTATTTTACCATAAGAATAAGTTTTTTTTAAATTTTCTCTATTTTTTTCCTGTTGTTATTGTTGTTCTTTTTTTTCTTTTCTTTCAAATCAGGAAATTTAGAGAATTTATCTCTGTACGAAAAACTAGAAACTCAGGTATGTAGTAGTTTTCTAATTCCCAAAAAACTTTCCTGGTGATTTAACTTGAGGGGGGGGGATTTTTTTTGTAATGAATTTGATCAGTGAGAAAAAAAACACAAAAAATAACGACAACAACAACATTTTATAGAGATGTAAATGTATTCTCTTTCAATTATAATTTAGAAGTTGGTAAAATATTATTGTTTAATAGTAGAGTTGAATTTAATTTACACTCTAATTAGAATAGATTGGTTAGTGTGTGATTGTTTTTTTTTTTTTGTTCGTTGTTGAAAATGAGTTCGTTTTCTATGCATCAATCAAATCCTATTTGATGGAGACGTTTTGAAGGATTTAAAAACTTAAACTTCGTAAACCCTAATGATGACACCTATACTATTCAAACATCAATTAAAGCATTATATTCTTATTAATGACTTTATTCAGTATTTTATTTTGGTACAATATAAAAATTCTCACCACAGGATATTTCAGCAAGTTACTTACGCAAAAAAACAACCGAAAAACTGTAAAACTTTTCAAATTAGAAACATGGTTAAGAATGCAGGTTATTGACTAGGTTAACTCTAACAACCTGTTCGTCACAGAGTATATTTGCTAGGTACGGTATTATAGAACTTTTATACTTTTGCTTGCGTGCATGGATTTTAATGTAATTACATCTCGTTCTACCAGAAGATATACAAGGAGAAAGATAAGAGTGAAGGAGATGGCTAGTATCTGATAAAATAACACCTGCCAGGAGTCTGCATGATTTTAAATGTCTATCCACAACCGTATTCATTATGACCTCGAAAGATTCACCACACATCTTGCTAACTGCCTTCATCACTCTCCGCAATACAGCAAAGTCTTTTCTCAAAAGCCCGGGAAAGAATAATGGAGAACAGTAAAGAATAATAGGTAATATGCGAGAATTGACAAATTGTAAGAGTAAATGACGAGTAATCCCAAGAGCATGCAATCTCTTTATGTAATAAGTCAGACGAAAAACCTTCTTCGATAACAACATCATTGATATAGATAAATATTTTATTCATCTTACTTGATTTCTAATTTTAAAGATCTAGTTATTATGCCCATTATTTTGTTAAATAGACCATGAAGAATATATTCATTATATGTCGACATTGACATTCGAATGAATCTACGAAAGTTTTTTCTGAGGTAATGGAGAATATTTGTAGCTCAGGTGGATGATTTTGATGGAGTTTTGTTCTCTGAACTAGATGGTTTGGTCATAGCGCTTTCATCATTCATTCTGAACATCATCAGTATAAACTTAAAATAGAAATGAAATGATCGAATTTTTCCATATATGGTTCACAGCTTGTTCTGTATACCACAATGTTGATTGCTTCTTATTGACCTTAAACCTCTCATTGTTTACTTCTTTGTTTTGATTTTTTTTTCTCAATCACTGAACTCAAATTTCCAGTCACAATTCATTCACATTGTTTTAGATAATAATATACCGAACTGAAAATCACCTAATTTTGTAAGTATGAACAATCCTTTTGAAATGATCTAAATGGTAAATATAACTAAATGATGGTAAATAACAAAACAAAACTTATTTGACTTAACACTTTAAATGATTGAATGTAAAAAAAAAAACAGATCAACTGATTATCCAAAATTGAATATGATTAAAAATCAATTTCTAACATAAAACAGTAGTATATTGCTGTAATCATTTACTAAACTATTCGAATAACAGATCTATATCTTACTTACTTACTAACTTTCGCCTGTCACTCCTCGTGAAGGAGCATAGGCCGCTCACCAGCATTCTCCATCCAACCTTGTTCAAAGCAATCCCTTCCAGCTCCTTCCAGTTGTTATTCATCCTTTTCATATTTGCTTCTATTATCCGACGTAATGTGTTCTTTGGCCTTCCTCTGTTCCGCTTCCCTTCAGGATTCCAAGTTAGGGCTTGTCTCGTGATGCAGTTTGATGATTTGCGTGATGTATGTCGTATCCATTTCCATTGTCTTTTCCTAATTTCTTCTTCAGCTATCTGTAGATTTCAGAAAGCAAGAATGATTCAATGTTGAATGAAATAATCTTTCGAAAAAATACTCAGTCTACTGTCTGTCTATTGATACTGACTGACACTGTTACAATGTGCTTGGAAATGTCCACTTACTTACTATGATTAAATGAGGGTTATCGGTTAATATGAAGAACTGGGATTAAGATTGACAGTTGAGTGTTAAGATTAAGAATTAGATAACGAACTGACATAAACTATAATGCCAAAACGCTATTAAGCCCAATGAATGAATAAACTTGGAGCTTAAATTGAAAACGTACCATCGTAAATAAGATTGGTTCATTTATAAATTACAGTTTCACTCATTCCCAAAAAAATATCTAATCAGAGATGCGTTTTTTTGGATATTTTAGTAATTTAATACTTGAATTCATGAGTCAATTTAAGTCAGACCACCATAGAGAACCTAAAAGAGCTAGACGACCGTTTCGTCCTAGTTTAAAACTCATCAGCTGTGTGCATTGACGATCCCGTCTCGTAAGATTCGAACCTAGGATCAATCAGTCTTGCGCGCGAATGATTAACCTCTAGACCATTGAGCCAAAATCCAATAGTGTTGGTATCTCATTTTAACCAATTCACAAAGTTGGATTCGAACCTCACGAGGCAGTAGCATGGATGCACACTGCTGAATATTCTTATACATTGAACGTACCCGCCATCTAGCTTCAATTGACTCATGAATTCATCTATTAAATTAATAAGTATATGTTTGGATTTTTCGACAACAAAAAAAGAAAACTAAATTTAACACAATCTATTGTGATCCTTTTTACTAAAACTTCCATTGAAATTACTTTAAATGGTTGTGAACGGAATAGAAGAAGCTTTCGTTTAACAGGCTTCCGTGTCTAGTAACAAGGGATCACGAATAACTTCAGGCAGGAACCTAGGTATGTTAACGATAAAAGAGGAAAAAGAAATTGGTAAATCATAGTATGATACTATCCTTGGTGCTTAAGAATAGATCAAGTTGCCTCTTAAAGGACACCTGTGAAGTCGCTTGGACTAGCTCAGCCGGCAGCGAATTCCAGCATTTGACAACTCTTGAGGAGTAGAAGTTGTGTCTACAATCTGTTCTGCTATGTTGTATCTTAGTTAATTATTCTAAGAAAAAATTAATGTGATAGCAATAACCATTTACCTATTTCAACTTGTGCACAACATGGATGATACATATTCATGTCATAAATAACAAACATTTTAAAAACATGGCTGAATTTATTAAAGTAAAGTAAAAGTTTTCAAATTCATCATCATTCTGTTGTTCATTTTTACACCAAAAAGTTTTTATGTTTTTGTGTATTTTTTTGTTTTTGTATATTTCTTAAGCAAAAAAGGTTTTTGTTTTAAGGTTTTCTTCGTGATTCTATTTAAGTAATAAACAAAATCACATTTTAACTATTAAAATAAAACAAAATTAAAATAATGAAGAAAAAAACGAGAAAAGAAAAGAACATAAATGAACATAACTACTCTATACGCTGACGCCATTGTGATCCATTCTGAGTCATGTTATCCACAGTCTCCAACCATTGGTTACGATAGTCACGCGGACCCCAACCAAGTAGTCTGCATTTACTAATATGGCTCAGACTAAAAGTTAGTGACTTTAAGCACTGATGCCACGTATTGATTTGACCGCCCTTAACTTTCTTCCAACCATCTCGAACATTAGTTAGCATTATGCGTCGTGATAATCGGTGTTCAGGCATACATAACACAACTCAACCATTTCAATTGATGAAGATTCAAAACCTCATCAATTGATTTACCATCATTCCCTAATACCCTGTGTCTAACCTCACTATTACTTACCCGGTGATTCCAGAAGATGCCAGCAATATTTCTGAGACATCTATGATCAAATCCTAGCAACTTACGAGTATCATCTACTCTCAATGGCCGTAAAGTAGAATAGAACGAACTACTGCGCAATATAGTCGTCCTTTTATTGATACATGGATACCTCGCCTTTGTTATAGGTGATGTACGTTGGCAAAAGCCAAACGAACCTTTTGAATCGGTGCTGAGATTTTGTCAGACACCAACCCATCAGGGCTGATCTGACTTCCATGATAAGTGGAGTTGTCGACGCATTCGATTTTAGTGTTGAATTAAATTGGACAATGTAGCGTCATGATTTTAATTCTTGTTAATTTTTGTAAATGAGTTTTTCTGGGTTGACTTTAGTTGAGAGTTAAGATCTTTTTGCAGTTATAGATTGTTTCTGATATCATATGAATAGAATAGAATTATGATTTATTAACAAAAAGACAGAAGAATTTAGAATTATTTCTTCTAGTGTTCCACATTTCTGTACGAAGCTAGAGTATGCTTACAATTGACGGATCGTAAGATAGTGACCAGTGTCATGTATGTCAAGTCTTTCTTTGTGCTGATTGAATTCCCGACGTAGTCTACTTCGATTAGTCACTACATCTAAACTTGATCGAAAGAATTTGATCATTGCTAAGAAATATCTGACAAATATGATATTGGTCATTGTCCAGGGATAAATTTAGTTGTAGATATATCTCAATGCTAAAGAAGGTCAGTTACTGCCTGATTAGCTCATTGGTAAAGTCTTTAAATGTGAGAGTTAGTGACAAGAGATCCAATCTACCAAAAAGCATCATTTCTACCACGATTAAAAGTACCTATTGGTGATGAGTGCCAAATAACAGTGTTTTCTGTTGCCTTCTACAAACTAACACCTCACAGTGGGAATATAAGTAGACAATACCTAGTTTGTAATTATGAAGAATTTTTATTGAGTCAAAATACAGCTGTTTGCATAAACTCTCAACCAAACTTAAATTTCAACAGAGAATAATTTCGTGTATTGTGTCATTGTAATAAATAAATTGTCCAAAATGATCATACAAACTACGTAGAAGAATCGATCAAAATCGATGTAAAATGTTGATATTAAGTTAATCCGCTGTATTGATTACTTGTTTTACTATCATGATCAGTAACCCATTACTTAAAGCAAAGATCTTGTATCGCAATACATTATCAGTGAATAAGCTACAACAATATGTTAACTTAGATGAGTAGTTTTCTGAAATTTAACCCATTGGAGGATAGTTATCATTCCGTACCCTAAGAAATCGGTTATGCAGATATGCATAGAACAGCTATAGTTTTGAATTATTTTTCATATAATTATGTAGTGAACGAGAATATAAGTGGGGACAATCAAATGTATTTGAATACAAAATCACAGAACATACTTATTAAAATCTGAGAACAATATAGTAAATACTTCATTTGCAAAATTCCAATCAATAGTCCCGAACTTCATTGTTCTCTCGTTTCCACACCAATTCATCTATGTTCTTGTTCTTTTCCTTCGATCTTCTTAATCTTCTGCCGCCTGACATTTCACTTTTGATTAGCGATACATACTACTTATATCTGTTGACATCAGTAGCACACAACACAATAAGACAATATGGTTCTACATTTCATTTATACATACATTCATTATTGTACTTATATCAAAAGAGATCAAAACAGATGAACATCTTGTTACATGTTAAAAAAAAATAGACTAAAGTCTTAAAATTTGTCAAATATATGTTGCTCACTATTTAATGAACACATTAATCTCTCTAAAGTTTACTATGAAACCCGGTGTAATTAGTTGGAAGCGTTTTAGTTTATAATATTAGAATGAATTATTTGTTTATTGGGTACTCTTTTGTTAATTCATAATCAGAAGGGATTTTTGTGGATATTAAAGTCTAGTTTCAATTGACTCATGATTTCAACTATTAAAAAAATTACTATAATATCCACATTAACCTCTTCTGATACTAATCAACATATGCTCACTAGTAACTGCCTTCAAGAGTCATTTTATAGAGTTCTAGTAAGAAACTGTGATCATTGGTATTCAACCGTGTTTGTTGTGAGGATGTGACTCACTGAAAACAATGGTGGACGTGTCACTCAATTTCGTGGATTAGTTGAAGTTAGACATTAACACCGTTGGATGCCAACTGGGCTCAGTGATTTAGAGGTTAGGGGTTCGCGTATGAGACCGATAGGTCCAGGGTTCGAATCCCACGAGCGGGGTCGTGGATGTACACTACTGAGGAGTCCCATAATAGAAAGAAACGGTGATCCAATGCTTGCAGGTTCTCACTGGTTTAGCTTCAACTGACTCAACTATTGATTTCAAATTACATAATAATTCTCGTAAATCTTTGTTTTATATGTTGGTTTTACTTACTTTTATTGAAAATTATATCATGTTTATTATCATCACCATTAGTTACAATGTTGACCAGATATTATTTCTCGTTTGATAACGTTTCATGTTTTTGATGGAGTTTTGTTCTTTGAAATGGTTGATTTGGTTGTGGAGCTTTCATCGTTCTTCTTAACGACATCATCAGCACAAGCTTCAGATTGATAGACTTCTCAGAGAATAAAACTCCATCAAAATCATCCACCTGAGCTACAAATCTTCTACACCATCTCAACGTTTCATGTGATTATATCACTTTATAATGCCAATACATTTTCATACATTTGAAACTATGAATAAATGAACTACTAATGTAGTTTTTAATTTTTGAGATCAGTGATAGATTAAAACAGTCATCAAAAAGATCACATAATATTACATAAACTACAAATATATCCATTTTCATATACCAAATCTTATTGAAATGGTAGAGATGATTTGTAAATCAGGTAAATGATTTTGATAGAGTTTTATTCTCTAAACTAGATGGTTTAGTGGTGGAGCTTTTTACCTTTCGAAGAAGAAATCATATTATCCTACAGTCTTTAAAAATATAGATTAATGTACTAGTGTACTTGTTACTTACTTACGCTTGTTACTCCTCGTGAAGGAGCATAGACCGCTCACCAACATTCTCCATTCAACCCTGTACTGGGTAATTCTTTCCAGTTGTTATTCATCCTTTTCATATCTGCTTTTATTTCCCGATGTAATGTGTTCTTTGGCCTTCCTCTTTTCCGCCTTCCTTCAGGATTCCAAGTTAAGGCTTGTCTCGTGATGCAGTTTGACGATTTGCGTAGTGTATGTCCTATCCATTTCCATCGTCTTTTCCTAATTTCTTGTTCAGCTGGATGCTGGTTTGTTGCTGATGGGATCCGGCCAACGGATGTTGAGTATCTTGCGTAGACAACTTTTTATAAATACTTGTACTATTTATAATACTTGTACAGTAGAACTGAATGCCTTGACGTTCGTATTGAAGATTCGGAGTTTGATATTGGTTGAAAGTTGTTTTGACTTACATATGTTGAGTTCTACTCAACTGATTATTCAACACCAGTGTACCTGCAAAGGCAAACAAATGAAAACAATAAAGAAAGAGATACATGTTTACAATTCTAATTCCTAGTAAGATTATTAATGCTTATTATTACGTGTGTTTTTATATACTTTTAACTGACATCAATACACTCTATATTCATTTTGGGTACAATGTTTTTATGTTAATCTATTTGTGATTTGTTTTATAGATACAAACAATATTGTTAGTTTAAGTGCGTTATTACATTCTAGATGTCCGGATTTTTCATCACCAATGTGTAAAGTGAGTTAAATAGATATTCTTAGTTATTGTTCACATAATTCCCAATTTTGAATTGTAGTCAATGTTATTTATCGAATAATTAATAACTTATCCTTTAATAAATATATAGGAGGCAGAAAAACACAGTGAATATAGTTTGTATGACATCACTAATTACTTACTTACCTACTTACTTACGCCTGTTACTCCAAATTGAGCATAGGCCGCCGACCAGCATTCTCCAACCCACTCTGTTCTGAGTCTTCATTTCTGGTTCTATCCAATTGTTGTTCATTATTCTGATGTGTGTCTCCGTTTTTCTTGACATGATGTGTTCGTTGGTCTTCCACTTCTTAAATATATTTACTAAATATATATTGAGAAAAAATAATGAACCGATTAGTTCCAATTAATTACTTGCACAAAACAGTTTGGGGTTTAATAAAAACGTAGTAACTACACAAACTACTGTTAATTGCATTAGTAGTATGTTTTAATTGTTTAAAATCAAAGTGTATATAATGCTGTAAACAGTCCTAAATTTAATGCATAAATATAAAAATACACAAGCCGATTAATGCTAGTGGAGGTTAACTGTTGAATTCATGTTAACACATTGCGTATATAGCCCACTATTCCCGAATACCATCACTGTTCTTCTCTTAAATGTTGATATTTTTCACTTGATAATGTGTTACATTATACCGTGTGTAAAAAATTTATAACTTTGTGTCATAGTAAGTTACAGTTAATAATTTGTGGTTCGGTAAATTTTAGTGTTTTGTCTGTTAATATCAGAAATTCATTTATTTTGGATCTCTCTCAGCTCGCATCATTCACTAACATGACCCAGATATATAGCTATTTCATCCTGGTATAGACGACTTATTACCTTTAAATAGTTATTTATCCAAAGATTATCTGAAAATTAATAAGGACAGTTAGTTCTCTTGATTTACTGTGTCAGCCATTTACATACACGTTTGGTATTTTCCTGATTCTTCTTGTTTATATTTTGTACACTAGATGGTTGTTTCAAAACTGAAAAGAAAACAGGTTTACAAGTAATATTTATTGTATATATATTGGTACAAAGGGGCACCGAATACATATGCTCCACACAAATCATTCTATTTGTGTGTGAGCTGTAATAATGCACACGTGTCCAGATCAAAGCAGATGTTTTTCTTAGGGAGCTACGCCCCAAGCGTTCAACCTAAAGGTCTGATCCACAAAACAGGAGATGCAGTCCCATAGTAGCCAATGACCAATAATTGGTTCATACGCCATTTTTCCTTTCAGGATACTGGAGCTCATGTGCACCATTGGTTTGGAATCAGTATTTTCCAATACTGCCGCGAGAAGGCAGTGAGTAGGACTTCTCTAGTAGTGGCTGTATACACGTGGCCATGTGAGAACATTTCGAGATGGTGAGGTGACTCTCCTCACCCTCAACCGTATCAGGGCATTTGGGGATTACAAATCATATTATTGAAAACAGTTGAATGATTGATTAAAATGTTCATAAAATTGATTATACTTTGTTCTATTATTTCAGGTAATTGGAATTTTGAACTCTGCACGTATTCGCAGTCCATTACCAGTAGCAAAAGATCTACAAAAGGCTATTAATTTAATATGTAGTTCAAATGTATTTGTTGATCAAATAATGAAACCATTAAGTCGAACAAATGATCCTATCACAGCAGATCTAATTGAAGGTTTAATTACTGTAAGTTTAATCATTAATGCTAAATGGATTCAATCAATTTGCTTTTCATAGATCTTTCTATGAAATCAGATTCAATTATTTTGTTTTATTATTGATAATTCATATGAATCTACTTTTGATTACACTTCGTATCAGCTTTTCAGTTTGACTTTACAAGAGAGTGTTCGGTTTTGCGTGATTATTACTTTAAAGTTTGTTTAGCTAAGTTTGACCTACTTCCTACGTTTAATTATTGATTAGGAGTTTGTTATTTCATTATTCTTATCATTAGTTCATTTAGTCATCAGTTTTTTAAATTTCATTGAAATCATGAATCCACCTATGTTAGACCACCATCGAAAGCTTGGAATCACTGAACAACCGTATCGTCCTAATGTGGCACTGCTCAGCGATTCCCATCTACCACACCTTATACAGGACTCGAACCCAGAACATTTGGTTTCGCGCAAGAACGCATAATCTTTAGATCATTGAGTCTGCATCGAACCGTGTTATCATCTAACTTCAATCAATTTACGACAATGTGTGACTATCTTCTATTGTCTTAGTTGATTAACTGCTTCACACCCTACACAAATTCGCTCCACTGGTTACGGTTACCTAAACGGAACTCCAGGAATTTCCTCTCATGATTGGTCACTCATGAACACATATTATATATTCGCTTTATAGCTTTTAGTAGCTCGATATCTGACTCCAATTAGATTGTATGAATGATTGTTATTGAAATATACATCCTGGCTGTCCCCGTATATAATTGTCGACTTAACTCACGTTGGTGGATAACGGAATTAAATAAGCTGAATACGATAATGAATTTTTGAATACATATACTTTGTACGCTAGCTGATCTGGACAGACAATGAGATGAACGAAGCGAGTAGAAGAGAGAGATATGAAATGACGCTCAGTGGAGAAGGCACATGAGCTAACTTGATTTAATAAAGCGTCAATCATTATTTATAGTTATACAAAAATAAGCTGCTGACATGTGATGAGTAGAAGTGTACACATACGTATGCACTCATATAAAAAGTCAGCGTTGATAAGCAAATAATTAACAAGATCAAAATATGACTCAAACAGAATGAATAGATTGCCCTACCCAGAAGCTTGAATAAGTTATATGGGCTTAACATAGTAACCGACACTACGACCTATTTTCTTATCATATAATTATGTTAGTTTAGAGGTTGTGGAGATTGTTAAGTTTTTTTGATTGAGATCATGAACCGGTCGATGTCAAACAACCATTGAAAAGCCGTGACCAGTGGAGCTAATCTGTGTCGATTAAAAACAGGTGTCTACCTCATTACAATGGAGGATGGTTGCGCAATTTCGTGGATTGGTTGAGGTTAGACATTAACACTATTGGATGCCGGCTCAGTGGTCCAGTAGGTTGAGCGTTCGCGCGCGAAACAGAAGGCCCTGAGTTCGAATCCCACCGGCGGAATGCTCACTGCTGGGGAGTCCCAGACTGGGATGAAATGGCCGTCTAGTGCATTCAGCTTTTCAATGGTGGTCTAACATCAATCGATTCATGATCTCAATCATATAATTATGTATTTAAGAATTTCTCCTTTAAAATATATTTTCTATATTTTTTTATTTAACTGTATTTTTAATCTGATTCCGGATGCGACTAATGAATTCTTACGTAATACATCTCTTTGCAGTCATTCTAATATAAGAAAATACTTTTATGTAGCGTATTGTTATACCAAATTATTCATTATTATTATTATTATTATTATTATTATTATTATTATTATTATTATTATTATTATTATAGTAGTAGTAGTAGTATATGATGAATTGAATGTTTAAACATTATTCTTTTTATTAATAGGGATCAAATCTAGCTAGAGAACCAGAGAACTTACTTAAACTTCGATCTTTGGCTAAATCTCTAAAAGGTAAGTAATAATGCATATTTAATAAGATAATAGTGATATAGCTAAATCACTTTCTCTAAAATATTATATGATACTGATAAATAATCTATGACTTAGTGGTGTAAACAATTTCATCTTGAAGAAGGTCAGTTATAACTAAATGACAAAATTGATAATGTGCTTTACCTGAGATTAGGTAATATTAGGTTCTATTCATATTTGAATAATAAGTTCTCTTAAGAGTATAGGTACATCTCAATAATAAGTTTCAATCCCCGAAATCTCAAGTCTAGAATGTACTTTCATTTATTTAACTATTATTACTTGTTGTTTTTTCTATGCCATGAACTATGGAACAATGAAGAATTCTCAGTAGTACGGCATCAACAAATTTTGGTGGAGTTTTGTTCTCTGAGCTGGACCACGACCAAACCATCCAGCTCAGAGAACAAAACTCCACTCAAATCATCAACCTGAGCTACAAATCTTCTCCACCATCTCATCAACAAATTTCTTTCTAATGTATGTTTGAATTGTAATAAATCAATAAAATATTTCATATGTGTCTCACGTGTATTCTGAATTGACTAGGTTTTTCATCGTTTTAGCTACTGCATTTTTTTTCGATCTATCAATTATTGATTCCATGAATTTGAATGTTATTCACCTTCGTTTATTCACAGGATAAACATGGGGGCAGGTAATCAACGACTGCACTGCCAAGGTTTAAACTTCCCATTTCGTAACATTGTGATAGGATGTTAGGTTTTATTCAAAGCTTGTGAGTATATACCCTAAGCATGAATAATTAATAAGTTGAAAAAAATCTGAAACTGATAGATTCAATGCAATATTAAAACACTTTTAAAATGGAAGTCTTAAATGTTTTAGAAAGCTTAAATGTATTTCGCATAACAAGTCGTTTAAATCATTGAGAAAACTGAAACTTGGAGATGATGAAGAAGATTTGTACTGATGATATCGTTCAGAAGAATAATGAAAGGTTCACAGTCGAACCATTCAGCTCCGAAAACAAAACTCCAACAAAAACTGAAACGTAATAGACAGAGTTCAATTAGTACTTATTCGCATAGTTAATTCAAATGATTTCATATGTTTTTGATTTTCTTTTTCAGGATCCGAAAATGTTACAACAACACTGTCAACTTTACAAAATAGTCCAGAAATTGAAACTTGCCTATCAAATTTTGATAAATGGGACTTCAACATATTTGATCTTGAACGGTTAACTAATAAAAAGTAAACATTAGAGTATTTTTGTATTTAAAATAATATTATTTACTTACGCCTGTTACTCTCAATGGAGCATAGGCCACTGACCAGCATTCTCCAACCCACTCTGTCTTGAGCCTTCTATTATAGTTCTATCCAATTGTTGTTCACTTTTCTCATGTATGTCTTCATTTTTCGACGTAATGTGTTCTTTGGTCTTCAACTTTTCCTTTGGCCTTGAGGATTCCATGTGAGGGCTTGACTTGTGACGCAGTTGGGTGCTTTCTTCAATGTGTTTCCTATCCACTTCCAGCGCTTCTTCCTGATTTCTTCCTCCGCTATAATCTAGTTTATTACCTCTCGTAGTAAGCCGTTGTTGATAGTGTCCGGCCAACGGATCTGAAGTATTTTGCGTAGACAACTGTTAATAAACACCTGTATCTTCTGGATGATGGCTCTCGTAGTTCTCCAGGTTTCCGCCCCATACAGTAGAACTGTCTTGACATTTGTAGTGAAAATCCTAACCTTGGTGTTGGTTGACAGTTGTTTTGAGTTCCAGATGTTTTTCAGTTTCAGATATGATGCTCTTGCTTTGCAGATCCACGCTTTCACATCTGCATCAGATCCACCGTGTTCATCAATGATGCTGCCCAAATATGTGAAGGTTTTTGCATCTTCCAAATCTTCTCCGTCAATTGTGATTGGATTGGTGCATGCTGTGTTGTATCGGAGAATCTTGCTTTTCCATTTGTGTATATTGAGACCTACTGCTACTGAGGCTGCTGCTACACTGATCGTTTTTTCCTGCATTTGTTGTTGCGTTTGCGATAGGAGGGCCAGATCATCTATGAAGTCTAGATCGTCCAACACTTCGAGAGAGTCTGTGACCTATCTTCCATGCACGATTTTGCAGTTTAATCCATCATATGAATTTTGTATGATATTGACTATCTTCTGAGGCACGCCGTAGTGTCGAAGAAGTTTCCATAGTGTTGTCCAGTCCCCGCTGTCAAATGCTTTTCCGTAGTCACTATTATATAATGAATTATATTTATTTGTATAGTTGCAACATTAGCCATAAGGAAGATCAGTTCCTTTCAAGATTGTAAATATACTTTGTTAATTAAGTGTCTGAAACCACTAAATATTCATATAGTTTAACTGAAGTGTTGAGTTGAAAAACTATACATATATACTAGATGATTTGAAATTGCTCAGAATTTGCCTATTGAAGCATTCACCAGAGAAAATGAAATAAATTCATCTTTAATTGAATATTCAAATTCCCTTTGTCTTTTTCTAAAGTCTGTACACAATGAAAATAGAGGGAAATGTGTTTTGAATATCGGTTTTGCAAAACATGGGCTTTTGATTATCTGAACGTTCTGGTCAAAGTTCGTAAAAATGTTTAGTAATAGTTTGTTCTCATTGACTTGTTTAGATACGTCGTTCGAATGACTCAACATATTGAGTGACATAACTATGATATTACTATACTTCCCGTTTTTGACTTTTTCACTGATTGTGTTAATGTGACATATAAAGTAAAGTTTATCTAAATCAACTCACGTGCTGGTCGTGACCAAACGACGATTCTTATTCATACAACAAAAAGGATACCATTAAAAACAGAGATGAATGGTGAATAGCAGTGGACTTCAGATCGCGCGTTTCGTTCTGTTCAACACTTGTTAGTTGGATATACCCGCGTACCAGGGTTAACGTTTTTCCTAGGACTTAAGAAAATCCTCACAGGATTCACATATCCTAACAAGACACTGATCAATTACAGTCCTAAATATCAACAACCAATAGAAAAATGTAAAACGATACAAGTTGATTTCATATGAGCTCAACTTTACTATTTCATCGGCAACCTAATCGTATCTAAAAATAGATCCGTTTTTTGTATATCTTTTCTTCTTCTTTTTCAGACCTCTCACTTATTTAGGTATGAAGATATTGGACAGTTTTAATGCTCTTAGTGTACTACGTGTACCTAGCCAAATTTTAGTCGGTTGGTTAACAGTAATTGAAGAACATTATCATGTGGATAATCCATACCATAATGCTACACATGCAGGTGATGTTCTACAAGCATCAGCTTACTTTTTACAACATAATTTAATAAGAGTAAGTTTACCAGTCTAATATTAAAATGAAAAGAATAAGAGTCATATGACATCAATGTGAATTTTCCGTTACGTTTTTAATGGCCTGAGATCGGACTCCAATTAGATCGTATAAATGATTGTTATTGAAATATACATCCTGGCTATCCTTGTATATAATTGTCGAATGAAATCGCGTTACTGAATAATGGAATTAAATATGTTGAGTAAGAGAATGGATCTTGGATACGTATATTTTTTTACAATCATTGATCCGGGCGGATAGTCGGAAGAACGAAGCAAACTGACTCACAGTGGAGAACGTGCATGAACCAACTCCATTTAATGAAGCGTTAATCATTATTTATAGTCACACAAAAATAAGTTACAGACATGTGATGAATAGAATAAGATGTACATGCACATTCACTCATACAAAAACAGTCAGAATGATTAAGTAAATAATTAAGTCTAAAACGTGACTCAAGAAGAATGGATAAATTTGAATGTCCAGAAGCTAGAATAAGTTGTACTGGTTTAACATAGTAACTGACAGTACAAGTTTCTTGTACCTGAAACTGTATCCGCATAATATGTTATCAGTAATGAGTGTTGTTTTGTTACTAATATTTTGGAAGTATTGAGTCATTTGAACTGAAACCTACGTAGTCATACAACCAAACATTTCGAAAAGAGGGATGACTTTACTTCCCCATTTCATGTGCACTATATCTTTCATAAATACCATTTCACGTAACAAAGATTTTGTACATGCCATTAACTACGAAATTTCAATGAAATTCAATGAACTAGTCAATATTTAGGAAGGAGAGACTGTATTGTTTCAACATTATTTGACATTTTTGGATTTATAAAAAAACTAACTATAGTACAAACCTATCGAGATGTTGATATTCCCTTACACTTTTTCGTTTCTAGTTTCCATAACAATTTAACTTTAGAACAACATAGATATAAGCGATCCTCATCAGGATTTACTCGAATATACAGTAATATTTATATGCATATATGAAATTATTAAACTAATCAAAGTGTAGATACATGTGAATCTACGAAGTCAGCTGCTTCTTTGGAGAGAGTTATATTGGGCGCATTATCAGGCAACTTAATCAAAGAGTTAGTGAACACCTCCCTTCGTGGTTAGGAATAGGTAATTTCAAGACAATACGCAGTTCGGTTCTATCACATTTGATCGATAGCGGTCATTTAATGGAAAGGAACAAGTCATTTACAGTTATTTATCGTATTCTTAATAGGTTTCTTTATGGTGTTCGATCTCGTCTCTTACACATAGCAGAAGCTATAAGAATTCGAGCTAACAGTCCAAGTCTTTGTGTTCATAAGGAATTTATGAAAAGAAAACTGTTTCCAGTACATAATCAAGTTAAAGATCATTTTAATGTGAGCAACAATATATAAAGGTTAATTGTCTATAACCCAGTGGTAATTTATTAGTTTGGATGAAAATATGATAACTGAACATTTTGTCGTCAATATCAATTGGTTTTAATACAAGTATCTAGCTTAATAACCGGAATAGATAATCCTATATGCACTAAACAGCTGTATTCCTTATCTCATAGAACCTTGTAGCATTGCACACGGATAACTTTATACAAGATGAAATAAAGGATATCAAGAGCTCCAATGGTTGACATTTTAGACATCAGTTGATTTTATTGGTAGAAACCATCAGTCAATTGAAGCTAGACCACCATGGAAAACCTGCAAGCATTTGACGGTCGTCTCGTCCTAGTATGGGACTCCTCAGCAGCACGCATCCACGATCATGCCCCGTGATGTTCAAACCCACGATCTATCAGTCTCATGTGCGAACGCTTAACCAATAGACCACTCAGCCCTCCGTCATACAACGGTATTAATGTTCAACTTCAACTAATCCACGAAATTGAGAAACACATACATCGTTGTTTTAAATTAATTACTATCTTATAACAGACCCAGTTGCTTCTCACTAGAACTCCAGGAAATACCTCTTGAAACCAGTCACTAGTGAGCATATGCTAATTTGCTAGTCAAGTTGATACATAAATCATGAAAGTGAATAATATTCACAAACCTATAGTGGTTAAGTAATTGTTTGTTCACTGTAGTCTGATTCCGTGAGATAAGTCTTGGAATTCTAGTATAAAACCCTGGTAGATGAAGTTTAACCAAGTCGATTGTGAAGTAGTTACCCATTGGTGTAATTAGAATATGAAGTCAAAATATCTCGAAATGACTAAATTTATACTTGTAAAACAATGGATGTTAGCTCAGTATTCAAAATGTTAAGCGTCAACCACGTAATTTAAATGTCAGTCGATAATCGCACTGTTGAGGAGGAGTTTTACCTTTAAAGTCTCTCAATGTGACATTAATGATTGTTGTTCAGGCGTTCGCTATTTGGACTTAACTTCATCAAGAATGGTTTTAGTGCAATTCTTTGAATAATTAGTTGGCACTATCAACTATCTGACACAACAAAAGAATATGATTTAAAGTCATTGCTAATAAGACTCTACATATAAGACTTGCCTTTTCGTAGACATTCTTAAATAACTATCTCTATTCTTGTTGCTTATTATTTATTTCTAGTCAATTTGCACAAATATCGATGAAGTTGCTACACTTTTAGCCGCAATAGTACATGATGTAGACCACCCGGGGAAAACAAATCCATTTCTTGTGAATAGTAATGATCCATTAGCTATTCTATACAATGATATGTAAGTGTTGAAGTGAAATTTACTGTGTAACTTATTCATTATCGTTTGATTGTGAAATGATTTGACCTATGATTGACTAATGTTTGATGAACATTGGTTGAATATCATTAAGAATACCTATGAATCTGTCCTTCCAGTTAATCTAGAAATCAACTAAATGACATGTTCAACCTTAGTTATGTAGTTTAAGTAAGCTGTAATTTAAAGCCTACTTTACTTGTCCAGATTTCGATAACTGGACAAGATCACATAACACATGTTATTCAATATATTTAAATAGTTAATGGCTAAGGTGGATGTGAATGATTTTCAGTAGAATTCGACTTTTTCAAGTTGAACATCTCAGTTGGACATGCCTGGAACCTAGAGTTAGTGTTTACACCCAACTGATGAGTCCCAAATGGGACGAAGCGAGTATCCTGGATCCAAAAGCTAGCCATTATACATCCATGCTTATATTCGTCTTTCTGTTTTTTGGTACAATTTTATAAAGCAATAAGTAGGCTTTCTTAAACATGTATTCTAATGCTTTTTTAGTGAATCTAAAATGTTAGGCTGAAATTATTCAGTCGATATATTTGTATTCTTTTTTGTTTCTTTTATTCAAGTGCTGTATTAGAAAGTCATCATGCAGCTGTTTCATTTGAATTAACCCTCCGATCACCTGACATCAATATTTTTCAGAATTTGACACGGTAGGTGACGTCTTTAAAAATCTTGGGGTGTATTTCATACACTCATATTTTCTATAAGTTGACCATTCATGTGTAGTGACTCACTTTTAATCACGAGAACACGACTGGTTTAATGAGAACAATTATTATTATAACCAACTGTACCAGTGCTTGTTTTCATGTGCTCCTGTTTAACTGTGCTAATTACAGCCATTTTGTGCTCCCATTACCTTCCATCATTGATGTTCCGCGGTTTTTGACTTTTTTTCGCACGCACTCCATTCTCCTGCTTTCGCTTGTACCATTTCTTGGTACGATCTTGGTATTCTTTTGATACCACGAGATCGCCAACGAAATAAATCTGGTTACGTTCAACCTTCGCCTTCTGATTTGTTTGGTACGCGTTTCCTTGTAGTGGCGTTCATAATGAATTTCGACTCGACACCACGCTACACATGCATCAAACTCACCGTTTTAATGAACGTTAGGAAGATCTCATTCTAACTTACAAAATATTCTTATGTAGTCTCACACTTATGAGAAATTCTACTTACTGCATTGATGCGGAAGGGGTATTTCAGAAACAACAAGAGTATTAGAGGAAACGCCGCAACATCAAACTGAATCGGTGGATGATAAGTATCCATTCACGGTAATTGTTACGTGGTAATTCCAAATTAGAGGTGGATACAGCACCAAAATCGTAGAGGAATAATTACCATTTCAATCTATTTTGACAGTAACAAAAGCTCACTTATTCAACGTTTTACTTTGATTACAGAATAAAGTTCTCCGTTCAAAACTACCTATATCATGAGAAATTCCTGTTGCTTATGTAGTTATTTTGTGAAAATTGACTTATATGTATAATCAAAATCAATGACCTATATTAGATGAACTACTCAATGAATATGAAAAAATGACTGACACGTTAACGCTTATTAGTCCACGAACACTTTCAATCCCAGTATCCAATCAGAGGACGTTATCAAGCAGATCTCTAATATTATCCTTCTATGTCTTACATCTTAAATACTCGCAAAGGTGATATACATTAATTATCTGATCATACGACACCATAAATCAGAAATCATAGTTTGTACATAACTAAGCCAGCATTAACACAATACTGAGCAATTGTTTCGTAATTAATTAAAAATAATTAAGAGAAGATGAAACATATAACAACAGTTCATGATCACTGGTTAGGATGATAATTACTACATGACAGATGGAGTAGGTTTGAATGTCCGACGAACATCACATTATTTGTAATAATCAAGTCAATCCTAATGATAGAAGTTCCAAAATGTTTGTAAAGTATCATTCATAAGTACATAATCTGTTGATGTATCATATAGACAGATTCTTACTTACTTACGCCTGTTACTCCTCGTGCAGGAGCATAGGCCTCTCACTAACATTCTCCACTCAACCCTGTCCTGGGCAATTCTTCCCAGCTCTTTCCAGTTGTTATTCATCCTTTTTATATCTGCTTGTATTTCCCGATGTAATGTATTCTTTCGCCATCCTCTTTTCCGCTTCCCTTCAGGATTCCAAGTTAAGGCTTGTCTCGTAATGCTTCTTGAAATGTTTCTACTTCAGAAAGGTTATGTATAATTCTTATTTAGCTGAATGGATTACATAATCCATGAAGTGATGAATGATTTCACTAAGTTATTTTAAGTGAAAATCATTTATTCTTCGATAGGATTGTGTAATTTTCACACACATAGCTCATCACATCTGATGGCTTTATAAATGATAATAAACAAAATAGGATCAGAACCTTTTTTTCAGTATACTATTGGTTTTTAATTTTTTCTTAGTCAACTGATATTTATCCTAGTATAAGACTCCTCAGGAGTGTCCATGCACGATCCCATCCCACAAGATTCGAACTCAGGACCTATCAGTCTCTAGGTTTTCTATGATAGTCTAAATTCAATTGATTCATGAATTCAATTATTAAATTACTAAAATCTCTTCTTAAAAACATGGCACAAGTCCACGAAGTCACTGACAAGTGGTCTGAGTCATGTTGGTAGGTTTAGACTACCTGGTTGAGGACCGCGAGATGATAGCAACCGATGGTTAGAGACCCTGAATGACATGGCTCAAAATCGTTTGCAATGGCGCAGGTGCATCCACTCTTTGTGTTCTCCCAAATTCTAATCTTTTGAATTCTTCATGTCCCATTTTTCCTCTTTCCAAACTTATTTCACTGAATTATATTCTTTAAATAACATCTCCAAACCCTAATCTTCCTGATCACTGCTTACACTCTTGCTACCTCTACCACTACGGGATTTGGATCGACAACTGCATTTCTGTGTTAAGGTGGTGTGGCAACTTGAACTGATGTACGTAGGTACGAAGTTCTACGTTGTTCCTGACTGACTGACTGACTTCATAAAAACCCTCTCTAATATCTATCCACTGACAGAACTCATCATTATGAATTTTCTTGTTAGTTATTATTATAATTAGTGTTTCATTTGAATGATTATGTTTTTTTATCTTCATTCATTATACAGTGAAGAATATCGTACAATACGTAGCTATATTGTTGATATGGTTCTATCTACTGAAATGGTACGACATTTTGATATTGTTACAAAATTTGTGAACACATTAAGTAAACCAATGCTTGCAAAGAATCGTGTAAGTGTTTATTGTTTTTGGATGATAATACATTTTGAGGATAAACTTCAATTTTTCATTTTTCTAATGATATAAGAATTGAATTCAGGAGTCAATTGAAGTTAGATTACCAAACCCTTCTCTGATTATAATCATTATATGCTCACTAGTGACTGTCTCCACTAGGTATTTCCTGGAGTTCTAGTGAGAGGCAGTGAATAGTGGAGTTCAACCGGTTCTGCCGTGAGACAGTAATTCACTTAAAATAACGATGTATGTATTGCTCAATTTCGTGGATTAGTTGAAGTTAGACATTAATATGGTTGTATGATAGAGGGCTGAGTGGTCTATTGATTAAGCATTCTCGCGCGAGACTGATAGATCATGGGTTCGAATCTCACGAGGCGGGATCGTGGATGCGCACTGCTGAGGAGTCCCATACTAGGATGTGATGGCTGTCGAATGCTACCAGGTTTTCCGTGATGGTCTAGTTTCAATCGACTCATGAATCCAACTATTAAATTACTATAATTTCCACAAAACTCCTCTCTCCTAATTATTATTTATTAAGTCAGTTTAAATGAATTATACTCCTTGATTGTATTCTGATTAGTTGAAATTTAAACCCATATAATTGATCAAGGGGTTATTAATTTTCTAGAGGTTGTTCTCTTACATCAGGTTAATTATCCCAATCATTAATTTTGAAACTAATCAATAGTGAAAGTATTGCATTACATGGTTGATTGTATGGACGAATCAACACTAAAAACAGATTGTCTTATATTCACTTGGTATTCTTTACTTGAATCTTCCCGTTGACGTTTAAAACTGCAGTCGATTAGTCTCTTGTTGGCATATTTGCATCCTATTCTGATTGACTGGATATTACCTTAATTCATAAGCATTATTAACAAAAATGGGAAGTGGCAGTGGAATCCACGACCCGCGTTTTTTCCTATTTGGGACTCGTCAGCTAAATGTACCTGCATCATAGAGTTTATGCCCACTCTGGGACTCAAACTTAATACCGTTCGCTTCAAACGCTATAGTGTTATCCACCTAACTACTCAGTCATGGGGTGAAGTTTACGGCTGCAATTGATCAGTCTCTTATTGATACATGTGTATCCTGTGTGCATTTTTTTGATATTGCCTTAATTTACATGCATTCTAAGCAAAGATGGGTTTGAGTCCCAAAGTGAACATCAACTCTGAGATGCAGTAACATCCAGCAGACGAGTCCCAAATTAGATGAAATGTGCGTCCTTTATTCCACTTATAGCCACTGTCCATCTTTGCTTAGAAGTTTGTCTTATAGCCTAAATGTGAGTTAAGTTTATCATAAGTAATTTTCAAATCAGTACTGTTTTTGATCATTATTATTATAAAGATCATGAGTGATCATAAGAATAGCAAGTAAACGGTTTTTTAAAATATATATAGATATATAATGACAACCGTCAAAATAGTCAGTCTTAAAGGTAGAATACGTTACATTGATATACTTAGACCGTGATTATATTACACCTGAGTGATACCGTAGTGAACAGAACACAAATGGGGACAGTCGAATGTATTTGACACAAAATTACAGGACCTGTTAATAAAATTTAACAATCAACTAGTAAATAGGTAATTTGCAAAATGTCCATCCATTGTCTCCAAATGATTCAGACTTCATTGTTCTTGCATTTTCATACAAATTGCATTCCATTTTCATTCTTTACTGTTCGATCCACTTGTCTCGCTGCTGCCAGACCTTCTGTTCACGACTAATATCATATACTACTTATATCAATATAAGTAGCACACACCACAATACCATTAAATCAGAATTGATCAATTGATGTGGTGCTACAGAGCATCTTACATTTCTACTTCATTAAAGTATTTTAACTCAATGTTATCTTTCTTCAAAGTCATTTTGTAATAAAAATATGTATGTCTGGTTCAAATAATGTACTGATCGCAGAACATTTTATTATTTTGTTTCAATATAGCACCATGATCGTTCATCTGTCGGTAGTATGAGTTCTATGGAATCATGTTCTATGGGAATGACAATATCACATTCTACTTCACCAAGTCCTGGACAAGAACGTATATCTAGTACACTAGAAAACTTATCAACTGCAGAAAATAGAACATTGATTAAACGTTTAATTATTAAATGTTCCGATGTTAATAACCCTACAAGACCATTATCTATATGTAAAGAATGGGCAACAAGAATAGCTGAAGAATACTTTTGTCAAGTTAGTAAATTTTTTAAATTGAAATTTGTTTTCATTTACTTGTTGTTATTTTACTTGTACGTTCCCATCAGTCTCATGTTAGTATATGTGCATCCTGTGCGTATTGCTTCGATATAGCCTTAAGTCACAAGCTTTTTAAGCACCCCATTTCACAAGCTGGTGGCTATCAGTACTCAGTAGCTAAGTGGACAACGCGATGGTGTTTGAAACGAACGCTACCGGGTTCGAGTATAGGAGTAAACATCAACTCGGTGATGCAGGTACATCCATCTGACGAGTCCCAAAGAGGTTGAAACGCTCGTTGTGGATTCTACTGCAAGCCATCATCTATCTTTGATGAACTTTGTTTTTTTGCCTACTAAACAAAAATTTATATCATGATTTCTTCCACGGTTCAACTATAAGACAGGTGAATAGACATTTGAATTCATATATTTTTTTGGACAGAACTCCTACAGTCAATAAATTAAGGTATTCCGATGCAGACAGATGTACTAAGTTTTTATGATATGTCAAACAAATGTGTTAGTAGGGCTTCATAAAGCATGTTGTCTTTATTGACATCCTTCCATATAGTTTCTGTGATATGATAATAAGAAGCAAACCTTCATTCAGATTGAATTGATGTGAGCTAACACAAGACTCATTTATGTTACTAAGATACCGGTCATGTAGTATCGCACAGTATTATAAGTTTCACTGAAAAAAATAATTTATCGAGCTATTTAAATCTTTAATAGTTTATTCAATAACAATATGGGAACCTATAACACAAAGTTGTTATGACTTTATATCCGGATTTCTATCACGTGATTTATCCACCAATCAAAATACGACTTATACAATCTTCGCACTGTGCCAAACCAATGACGTTCGACCGGTATGGGTAGCCTAGCGTCCTTATTGGCCGTATGTCCGCCTAGCCCGTCCACTTGAATCCAGAACATCAATACCAGCTTACACTATGCGAATCGAATCGAATCGTTCATTTCAGACATACTGGGTTTATATATCAAACAAACAGACCGCAATGCACCATAAAATACAAAATAACATTTGTACACAATGAAGCCAAAAAGTGGATGTGAACGTGGGAGGCAGTAGTCAATAAACTGATCATAACTTAAGAACCGTAAATTGTACAATAATAATTTGTAGGTCAAAATAAAGCTTATCATAAGAGGAATATAAATATACATAATCTAATTATTGAATAGTTATAACATAAAAATGTATAGATAATATTAGTCAATTATAATGTATCAGAAGTTACTCGTGATCTAATCTTCGCTCGGATATAACACAAAGTAATAGCTATTTCCTATATGTTCTTTTTAAAAAGAACTAAAACATACAGAATGAAAATCGTTTTTATGAAGGAATTCATGTCACTTGTAGAACCATCCAAAACTAAAAGAGAACTGATCATTAATTTCATTTAAGTACATATCTCTTCAACAGTGTATATGCATTACATTATGATGGAATCAATGTAGCAAGTTTTGATTTAATGTGATAAGTTGATTGTTCAAATAATGTTAAACGTAAATGATCAATTACAATAGTTGAAATCATAAGTCAATTAGAACTAGACCACCATGGAAAACCTGAAAGTACTGAATGGCCGTTTTTGTCCTATTGTAGGCAAGTTATATATTTGAAGTTCAATCAATTTACGATGTAACAGGATGCATCATTCTATGACACCGATGTTTAACATTAAAATCAAAACGTTCGTTATTGTTTATTATTTATTGTTACTTTTGATAACTCCTAGTTCCGGTGCCATCCATAATCTATTTATATAAAATAAATCCATTTACTTTGCATAACTCCCTAACGCTGGTATCTCAGTAAGGATACAGTCTTAGATCTGATGATTTGTACGATATTATTGATTTACTTCAATGGTTACACTAATCAATACTTTCATAAACTATGATTATATTCATGTTCGAATCCATTTGATGAAATGGGTTTAACAAGTAAATATCAAAGATAAGTTTTCCAAAATATTGATGCATTTTCTTATTCTATCCTTTTAACTGTTTACAATTTAGACAGAAGAAGAGAAACGACGCAATTTGCCTATTGTTATGCCAAATTTTGATCGACAAACATGTAATATTTCACAATCACAGTTATCATTTATTGATTTCTTTTTAAAAGGAATGTTTTCAGGATTTGACTGTAAGTCAGTTACATATTATGGTAAACCGTATTTTTAAATTAGTCCCATTAGTTCAATGTATTAATAGGAAACTAAGAAGTTATTAAATTGTACAACACTAAAGATTGTGTTTGTTTTTTAAATGAAACTCCAGTTGGCACCTCCTGTGTTGTTTGGATAACCTATGAGAGTTTAGATGGTTCGACGTTAAAGAAAATAAGCATGAAGACTTAAAATACAGTTTATTCCTAAATGATACTTGTCAGAATAGTCCATCTGTAATCTTGAAGGATTGAATATGTAATGAACGAGAACATAAGCGGGGACAATCGAACGTATTTGAATACAAAATTACAGAACATTTTAGTAAAATTTGAGAGCCATACAAAAAATACTTGATTTACAAAATGTCAGTTAATTGTCTCAGACTTCATTGATCTTTCTTTTCCACACCAATCATTCTCTATTCTCATTCTTTTTCCTTCGATCTTCTTAGTCATCTGCCACCTGACATTTCACGTTTGATTGATGATATAAACTACTGATATCAGTTGATATCAGTAGCACATACCACAAACGTACCTCATAAAATTGAGATTCATGTCACACATAGTCACAGTCAAACATGTTACTAATGAGTTGGTTGAGTTAACAAGATTTCGGTTTTTTATTACTGTTGGCAAAATTAGAAGCTCATAAAGATCTTCGGAATAAAAATCTCAGTAAAGAAAACGTTTGACCCGACTAAATGTATATATTTTTGGTCCAAGAGTAACCTTATAACACTGTTGCTTTTGCCAAGTCATAATAGAAAGTAATTTCTGATTTATTGGGAAATATTCTTTAATGAACGGCTAATTACCTAACTTAATTATATATATGCAATTAAGTAGTCACAGAATGTCGTTGCTTACTCATATATACACTAATAAGCCGCTACTGCATGGTACTCATAGTACGATTGTATCAAATGCTATTTTCAATGACGTTGCCAACTGATTCTTCAGGAAATCGTCCATGATATTACCCATGGATTTCAAATCAATGTATATTTAGTAAATAGAAGTATTTCGTTCCAATCAGTTTTTCGTCATACACATATATATGATTTACAACAACAAGATAACACTAATAGAGTAGAAGTGTTTCAGAAAACGTGGTGGTCATAGAAAATCAATGACTAGCTACTATACTCATTTTCACAGTTCAGTACCAATCGAATATGAATAAAATTGACGAAAGTCATAACCAATCGTGCAACAGTGATTTGCACCGATGGCATTATCGACGATTAATTCAGGAGTATCTGTAGCCTTTTTAATAAAACTGATTATCTTACTAAATTCGTCACACAAAAGTGATTAAAATCACATTGATGATAACAACCTTTCAGAAGAAGTTAATTTTCTTGAAGTTATAGCTTATAAATGATGCTACCAGGCAGATACTAATACAAAGATCAAGAAAAGCTTAACAGAAAACATTCTCTACAGCCTATTCAAATCAGAGTTTTACAATTTCCCGAATAGTGAAAACTAATAACAAAGACAGACTTTCGAAATCCGCCAAACTCATGAGTATCTATCAACCAGTTACATTACAGGCACATTTCGACAACTAGATAACCTTACTGTCGAACGTTATTCAATCTAGTTGAGCAAAGCATAATTAAGGATGATTCTGAGTTCTATACTCAATAACTTGGTGGACAAGAGATATCAGGTTGACTTAAACAAAGGTTTTGAGATTATTTATTGTATGACATGAAATTAACCACCTGAATTACGAGTTTGTCTTTTCGCTATCACTGGAGGTATCAGAACCCAGTTTTTCAACCTAAAAAACGTTTGCTTAAACCCTCTCAAACTTGGCCATCACTGTAGGACTGGGTTTTTAGTGGGTCCATTTATTTAGACATCAATTAGATCCGACAATGTTGTTTACGGATTCATCAGTTTAGTGACCAGAGATCTGACTCCAATTAGATCGGGGGAATGATTTTTATAAAAGTATACATACTGACTATTCTCGTATGTCTTTATCGACTTAACTCTCGTTGGTTCATAACGGAATTAAATAAGTTGAATAAGAGAATGGATTTTTGAATACATATATTTTGTACACACACGTTGATCTGGACAGACAATCTGACTAAGGAAGCGAAATGGCGCTCAATGAAAACGGCATGTGAGCTAACTCCATTTAATGAAGCGTTCATTATCACTTATAGTCACACAAAAATACGCTACAGACATGTGATGAATTGAATAAGATGTACATGCACATGCACTTATACAAAAATAGTCAGGGTGGATAAGTAAATAATTAAGTCTGAAACGTGACTCAAGAAGAATGGATAAATTGACCTGTCCAGAAGCTAGAATAAGTTGTATTGGCTTGACATAGTAACCGACACTAGAGATTAGAAACGAAGAAAACCCAAGTTCTTCGGTTCGATTCCTTGTTATAAGGTTCTAAATCGGCAGCTCTGTGGAGTCTAAAACCAAGATGAAATGACTATTTAATGCTTACAGATTATCAATAGTCTAACTCGAATCCCCAAAATCTACATACTGATAATAATCATAATATAAATTTCAATTGTTGAGGTCATGAGTCAATTGAAGTTAGACGACTGTGGAAAATCTTGAGGCACTAGAATGGTCGTTTCGTCCTATTATACGACTCCTCAGCATTGCACGTCCACGATCCCGTCTTGCGAGATTCGAACGTAGAACCTATCAGTTCCGCGTTCGAGTGCTTAAATTGTTAAGAAATTAATTTGAGCTTAAATAATTTATAGTACCATAATGACACATTTTATTTTTTTTCATTTTATGTTTTCTTTTTATATCCTATTAGGTGTTTTTCCAATACCTGAACTCATGAGTAATCTAGAAAGTAATACAGCTTATTGGGCTAATAATATTGAAAAAGAGAAAAAAACACATGTAACTTATCAATTAGAAACAAAATCAATATCTGTTCACCAGGATTAAACTTTATTTTATTTTATTTTTGTTTTTGTTTTTGTTTGTTTTCGGTTTTATATTTATTTTCAAATACTTCACATTTATTTGTTCCCTTGTTACCAGGTTAGAAATAAATTAATGTAACCATATAAATATACATATTAGGTCATACACACATACATAGATATGCATGTATGCATATACATCTAATCTATCTATATCTATCCTACCCTATCCTATCCTTTCCTGTCCTATCCTACCTTATCCTATCCTGTTCTACCCTATCCTATCTATCCACACATCTATCCACCCATCCATCAATCAATCTATCTATCTATCATATTGATATAGAAGAAAGAATAATCTAACAGAATCATATCGATTGTTCACTTATCAACTATTCATATTGTTGTAGTGATTATTTTTAATTGAATTCAATTAGTCAATTTCAATTGAATATTCATTAATTAGTTAATTCCTTATAAACTATACACAGTGCACTTGAAAACGAAGAAAAAAGTTTTTAAAAAAGAAAAATAATAAAAAGAAAAAATAGACAAAACAGTCTAGAATTTCTGTCGAAAATTCTTTTTAGTATTTTTTTTAAAAAAATTGTTCATTCTTTTTTTTCTTTTTTCTTTTTCCCTCTTTTTTCTTCTTTTTTTGGTTTTGTATCATAAACAATTGTTCAATTATTAAATTCTTTGAAATCATTCAATAGAATCATCTTCTCATTCTAGATCCATCTTTATGATAATCATATTGATATTGTCACTTGTCATTCTATTCATTTTTAATGATGTTTTTCTTTGTGTTTTCTCTTTTTTTTTTAATAAGATGCCAAATTATGTTGATAGAGAAGTTTTTAGTTGTTGTACAAGTATGCTCATAATTCTATTACATAATGATATCATTACTACTATTATTACTATTACTACCACTGCCGCTACTACTACCATTACTATTACTACTACTACTACTATTACTCTTATAAGTAGTAGTATTATTCCTTAAAAATAATTTTGTTTATTCAAATAAACCATTTTAACTCATTTATATTATTAAACAATTCAATATTATTCAATGAATATTCTTCATTATTAATCATAGAGATTAATATAAGTAGTATTTTTTTTAAACTTGATCAATATTTTATTTCATTTCATTGTTTGTTTGTTTTCTACCAAATAAAACAATCAAATTTTAATTTATTCTTTCTATTCTATATTTCTAATTGTCTACCTCGTGTAGAATCATGTTTAATGGTGTTTATGATATTGATTTATAACATTTTTATTGATTCATTACTTACTTACTTACTTATTTAAGCCTATTACTCTCAATGGAGTATAGGCTACCGACTAGCATTCTCCATATATATACTTGGATACAAAATAATGTTTATATATATGGATAAGTTTATGTTTCTATGTCTATTCTATGTCTAATTGTATTCATTTATTCATTGGTAACTATGATCATCCTCAAAGAATTGTTCTTCCATAATAGAAATTTATTATTATTATTACTGTGTGAATAGTAATTAGTATTGAGATATCTTCTCAACTTGTATTGTACAGTGATAATGTAACTATTTATTGTCTTATTCTATTGTATTTATATGTTGATAATTTTGAAACTTGATATACATTATCATCACATGTAATTCATCTAGATCATTGAAGATAAGCTTATGATGATGTAATCGTTCTTATTATGTTGTTGATGTAATAAGACAATTGTAAATCAACAGTCTGCAAATTGTTATTAGAAAATATTATGAATCAATATAAATATTCTTGTCACTGTGTATTGTTTTTTGATAGTTTGACGATGCATTGTGACTAAGTATCTGACTCCAATTGGATTATATGCTGATTGTTTATTTACTTACATTTATTTACGCCTGTTACTCCTAATGGAGCATAGGCCACCGACCAGCATTCTCCAACTCACTCTATCCTGGATCTTGCTTTCTAGTCTTATCCAATTATTGTTCAGTCTTCTCTTGTCTGTCTTTATTCATTGACATAATATGTCCTTTATTCTTCAACTTCTCCTTTGACCCTGAGGATTCCATGTGGGGGTTTGCTTTGTGAAGTAGTTCAGTGCTTTCCTCAATGTATGTCCTATCCACTTCCGGCGGTTGTTCCTGATTTCTTTCTTCACTGGGATCTGGTTTATTTTCTCCCATAGTAGATTGTTGCTGATTGTGTCTGACTAACGGATCCGAAGTATTTTTCATAGACAATTGTTAATAAACACTTGTATCTTCTGGATGATGGATTTCGTAGTTCTCCAAGTATTGTAAATTCTGAATTTGGTGTTAGTTGACAGACAGTTGTTTTGAGTTCCAGATATTCTTCAATTGTAGATATGCTGCTCTTGTATTGTCGATCCGTGCCTTCATATCTGTATCAGATCCACCGTGTTTATCAACGATTCTTCCCAGATACGTGAAGGTTTTCATATCTTCCAAATCTTCTCGATAAATTGTGATTCGATTGTTGCATGTTGTGTTGTAACGGAGAATCTTGCTTTTCCGTTTGTGTATGTTGGGACCTACTACTGTTGAGGCTGCTGCTACACTAATTGTCTTCTTCTGCATTTGTTCTTGCGTGTGGGATAGAAGAGCCAGATCATCAGTAAAGTCTATATCGTCCAGCTGCAGTTTATTCAATGAATGTAATAGCAGTAATATCCTTCTTCTTCTTCGTGAGTTTCGAACTATCTTCACTATCTAAATACCATTGTTCTTTGTTCATTTGATAGATTTTTTCACTAAGTTTTCAATATATGAGTTTTGAAGCTAAAGATTTTAAGGAATCTGTAATTTTTAACTGATAAGGGCTTTCTACTTGGTAAAAACTAGGTCAAGTAATGTATATCCAGTTTGGGATGAACAATAGAACCTCTTATTAAAAGTTGTCACTTGTAAATTTAACCATTTTGAAGATTAAGTCCATGTTCATTGATTTTACTGATTAGAATATCATAAATCCACCAAAACTTCTTGGCTCTCTGATTTCAATTCATTGATAAAATTCTATACTCGTTATGGGTTGTGTTACATTATTATTATTATTAGCTTTATTCAGTATTATATTCTTGGTACCATATACAATTCTCAGCACAAAGTATTTCAGCAAGTTTCGTTTTTCATCCTGATGATAAATATTAAGTGATCGCCAACTAGATGTTGGCAGTTTAGGAATCGATATCTGAATAATGTACATTATTTTTTGTATATAATGTCAGTAACCAAAAAGTTACTGGCTGTGCAACTTCCTAACTGAATAAGTTGTGCAATTAATTGACATAATGATCCGTTCAAACAAACGAAACTTAGTTAACTTGTTGAAATATCTAGATGGCAGGAACAGGTAGTCCAAATATTCTAGCAGGCCGCCTAGTTACGCGAATTCTGTCAAGAAGTGATAAATGAAAACAAAATTATTAAACATTATACTTTGGTTGAGATCATAAACCAATTGATGTTAGATCACCATTTAAACCCAGGAAGCAGTGAACGGCCATTTTGTCCTACTGTGGGACTCCTACGCAGTGAGCAACCATGATCACACCTTGCGATATCCGACCCCGGGCCTTCGGTCTCGCACGCAAATGCTTAACCGGCATCCAACGGTGTCAATGCGTAACCTCAACCAATCCACGAGATTGTGCAACGATCTTCCATTGCACTAAGGTAAATACCTGTTTCTACCCGACATGGATTAGGTCTTTAAATTTTAATCTTGAAATAATGAAATATTTCAATAATGTTTTTTTGATAAACTTCACTTGATCTTTATTATTAACTTTATGTCACCTAAAGTTACAGTCTGATGGTCTTGAGTGCTGTTAGAAGTATGAGGGCGGTTATCACTTCCCGGTTGCCCACACCGTGGAAGGGTTGTTCTGGAGGTACCTGAAAAAGAAATTGGATTAAAGGTTGTCTTAGTGACCTGAGAGCGTGACTGCAGTGCCCAAGGGACAACTGCTTGAGGTCAATCACACACGACTCCTTATGGGTAACTTTTGTGTTAGCTCCGTACTTGTTGGGACCTTACCGCCGGGGACGAATATTCGTGGGATGAGGCGAGGTCGACCTTTTCTAACCCCACCTCTTCTTGTGGGGAGGCAGCATCGCTGTCATGCTGGTTGTATGAGGGAAACAACTTACTGCTGTCACACCTGTGTACAGTTAGCAGTACGACTTCGCCTTCGGACCTTGGGTTTGTTGGTTTTAGTCTTACCGCTCTTCAACCGACCTGTCTGACATGGTTGTTTCAGCCGGTATAGCTAGGTTGCTTCATCACTAAAGGCAAGCCTGACCGCTACGTCAAGGTAACAACAACAATCGGGACCTAAAGTTGCAACTGGTGATAGTCCATCGGTATCAGACAGTCATGACTGTCTATCTGTCCACACATCTATCTATCTCTCTATCTATTTATCTATCTATCTATCTATCTATCTATCTATCTATCTGGTTGACTAATGAACAAGTTGGTTAGCTTACTTTTTCTCATACCTACGTAGCAGTTCAATTTAAGGAGAAAAAAAAGAAACATTCCAATTTATAACAAACGTTTATTTTTATTAATTAAAATTGTATTTCTTTTTTTAGTTCTTTCATTCCATTGATTTATACAAATAATTTTCTCTCTTCTTATTTTTTGTTGAAAAATCAACTGGCGCGACTTTCAAACTTAAACGTCGCATAGTTGAAGTGAATTGAACAATACAAACTATAAACCAGAATGAAAAAAAAAGTAAAAAGAAGAAAAGAAATTGGTATTTTTTCTTTTCTTTCTTTTTTTCTTTTTTTTGTAACTTGTTCAATGAATTCCATTTCAATTGAATAATGTTAAAGTTAACGTACAATAAAGATACATATACAATAATAATAATAATAATGAAGTTTTAGTTATTATAAGGCACAATTTGAGTGAATTATTAAATATAAGGCAACAAAATTGTATACAAGAAGAATGATTTCTTGAAAAAAAAAGAAGAACAAATATAAAAGAAAAAGAAAAGAGAAAGAAAAAGAAAAAGAAAGATACCTAGTAGATTGTTTGTTGATTGGATTTCAAAAACTTACGAATATTGTATGTATATATATATATAAACAAAAACAAAAACAGAAAAGAAAAAAAAACGTAGATTGATCAACAAAATATAAAGATATTGATTTGAGTACAATAAAAATCAATACAATATTACTATATAACTATGACTATTGTTAATATTATCATCATCATCATCATATTCATGTTCATTGCAGTAGTGATCAAACACATGGCTAATTTAGAACAAAATAACCAAGAAAACCAAATGCAAAATCGTGAAATGTATTCATCAATTAGAAGTAACCGAAAAATCAATATATATATATACCTAGACGTCAGAAGGGCACTTAATACTGATATCAGAAAAATATGATGTAATCGTTACTTTCCTCGAAAAAAAAAAACAAGAAAAAAAAGACAATCCCCAGTTAGACAAACATCCTTATGGAATTACAAATAATGAACATTAAATGAATTGAATACTATTGGCTTTTTTTAAGCGTGTACATTATAGTTCAATAGAGACACGCTTAAAATGATTGTAGCCATAGTAACTATTATATAAAGATCCAGTTAAGAAAATAGATAGAAGAAATGATCATAATCAAAACAAAACACAACACTGTATTGTTATAACTTAAGAATAAAATGCAAAAACAAGAAGACGATAAAGAAGAAAATGATAAACTGACAAACCATTGAAGGCACTTTAGTAGATCCAAAATATTTTTCAAGGAATATATATTAGAAAGAAAAAGAAAAATTCGAAATAACCAGGTAACTGTGTTAAAGAAAAAAGAAAGAAAGAAAACAAAAACGAAAATAGAAGACTTTTGAGTTAAACAAAAAAAAATGCAAACAGACAATGACAAGTCAATATTAATATAAAGTAAATACAATGATATACTACTGAAGAAAAGAAAAAAGAAAAACAAAACAGACTTATCAACAAAACCAATACACAATAGTTTCCATTGAGCAATTACTAGAAAGAACACCATTCACTATATTATACAATTACTATTCATGAATTATTTAATTATTGTATGTATGTAAGTGTGTGTGTGTGCGTGCGCGCCCATGTGCGTGCACACGTGAGTACAAATAGAAACGAAAAAAAGGCGGGAGAATTTTTTTTTAAAAAAACAAACGATTTCTGTATTCTTGTTTAAATATTTTGTGTACTGAAAATAGTGAAATTGTTAATTGCAACGTATCATTATTATTAGTAGTAGTACATGTCTTTACTGTATTTACGGTGATCTATATATGTGAATGTGAAGAGTGAAAAAAATAGGAATATCTTTATTTGAATCATGTTGAGTTTGTTGTTCTGTTCTAAATTATACAACCATATATGATTAAGATGGTTTATCTGTACAATTATGTAAGGGATTCTTTGTCAAGTTTCAGTCTCCTTCTTATGTCTTTCTCTCTCTCTCCCTCTCTGTCTCTCTCTGTAGGTATATATGTGTATACGTGTATGTGTGTGTGTGTGTGTAAGTGTATAGTTCTCTGATTCTCCAAACGTCACAATTATTCAGCAGAATATTGTTTTATATTAGAGTAGATTAAGATAAAGAATTCTCTTTTCTTTTGTTTAAATGAAAATAAATCAATTTTGGAAGATATTTTGATGATCATATAAAGTAAATATCACAAAATTTCATTCAAATCATCATCATCAGCAGCATCATCATCATCGGCATCATCATTGGCATCAATATGCTACTAT